TTTTTTTTAATTTTCCTGAATTTATTTCAAGTAATTTTAAGAATTTCGTTTATTTTGCTGTCCTTTTTTTAAATGACGAGTATTTCAGCATGGCCCGCCGCCCTGAAGAAAAGGTAATAGCTAGCCGAAGTCGAAGCAGTAATTAGTTGGAGATCATTCTCCTGGCGCCCTTTTATTAATGATAATTTTTTTTAGTAAGCCAAATATTAATATAAACGGTGAGCCTGGCTTGGTAAATCCCCGGGTCAGGCGAAATCCCATTATAAGTTTCATATACTATTTGTATCAAATCCATCATGAAATTCATCTGGAATTTCAGATGAAATTCATATTTGTTTCACAATCTGAAGTTCATCCGGAACCAAAATTTTTTTTGTACGGGCAATATCTCATAAAGTTTTTTAGAAACAGTACTGTAAATTTGTTTTCTGCCCTCCGGCCGGAAAGTGGCAACTTTCTGGCCGCTGCGCTAAACAAAGTTGCCACATTCCGGCTACGTCGAGCAGAAAAATAGTATACACACCTTGGCTAGTAAAAAGTAAAGCCTCAGATCACATGTTTGTCAACCTCGGCTTCGCCTCGGCCAACAATTACATGTGATCTGAGACTTTTCTTATTTTACTGGCCTAGGTATGTAATATACTATTATAAAGAGTTTCACAAAATTGTACAAATTTTTACGAATTTGAAGTGCTAAAATTTTACAAAATTCTATAAATATTTAAAAAATTTTACAAAATTATTTCTAGCTCAAGAAGCTTCAAGTTTTTTATTTAAGAAATAAAAAGTAACTTACCAGAAATATACAGATGAAACTACTGAAGTAACGTCGGTGAAAAACGATCGCTTAAATACTAAAATTTTAGAACGTAAGTGGGGTGCGTGCATCTCAATGCCGCGTATGTCGTGCGATTTTTCCGCAACTAAGTTTTATTACATACTTATATTTTTTACGAGTTTAAAATTTAAAAAATAAAATCCATACCGCCAGCTCTAAGAGACCCGATAGTTTTCGACGACTTATAGATCTTGAAATTGAATTTGTATAGCATTTCCTTAAATTATTCGAATTTCGAAGTGAAGACAACTTTCCGAGTAGTTTCAACTCACCGAATAATTATTACGAAAAAATATTCAGGGTATGTTACGGAAATTCGTAAAAATTGAAAATCTTTTTTTTTATTTCCTCGATTTATTTTCCTTTTTGACTAAAACCGGTTTTCCAAATTTTGTTAGTTTTTTCTGTAATCTGCTTAAAAGTTATCGAATTTTCGAAGAAACCGCTTTTGACAAATTTTTTGCTTATTAATATTGGTTCAAAAATCCATTTATTAATTTGAAATATTCAGCCTTGAAATTTATACAGTGAAAATTGCTTTGCTTACCCGATTATATTTATCGATCGCAGTAAAACTATGAGTTAAAAATGTTTTGCAAATCTAATGAATTTAACAACTTATCGTGAGTGTGAGACGTTACCATAATCATAAAAGTCACCTTGAAATATCTAATCTAATAGTGTAAATACATGTTTAATAAGGGATGACTGAAATTAAAAAAAAAACGAGTGAGCCTCACAAGCATAAGGTCACAATAGAAGTGAAACTTTTTTAATCGTTAAGTTGGTCTATATTATATGTATATTTATAATGTAGCATCTCATGTTTTGAAAAACACAAGAAAATAATTTTATCAACTACCCGGTATTTGAGAAATAAAATACAAAAGTTTGAAAAATCCAAAAATGCACGCCTGATAACGCTAATTTATTGAAAAAAAAAAAAAAAAATTGTGTAATTGATTAAAAAAAATAATTTTCCAGGAATAAATTTTAATATATATATCATAAAAGTGTATTTTTCATGTATTGCATGCCTAAAGCGCGAAGCGCGTAGGTATGCTCTACTCTCGCCTAAAAATCGTGATTTCGATTAAAACGTGATTTTCATGATTTAAACGAAAAAAATTATGGATCAAAAGCATATTGAAATAAATAATAATAACTATATGACACGTTAAAAAAATTTTCTTAACGATTAAATAAGATTTTTCAGAAAAAACTCGTTTTCTGATGAATTAAATGAATAAGAGCGTGGTATTCACGGGAGCTATGGGCTTGATAACACCACAACTTTGTCAAAAATCATTTTCACGATTTAATTTTTTTTTGTTTTATTCCTGAAGAAGTTTATCAAAACCCTTGTGAAAATTGCGTGTCAAAATAATTCCGTTTCGATACAGTTAATTTTTTTCGATTGTCAGTTCGGTGACTTTTTCTGCGATTTCGGCAGCCACATATATTATTTTTCATAAACAGAATTGAAATAACTATAAATAAGCAGAAACTATACATACATGATGGTATAATTATAAACTGTTTTATCATCTGTTAAAATTTTTCTTTAGTTATTAGTTCGACCTACAGAGGGGATAATTCTACTCGCAGGAAAATTCAAATTAAAAACGAATAATTTTTGTTATGATCTAAAGAATTTATGTATGACATGAGCGCTTAAGGCATGCTTATTTGGATTTTCCAAACTTTTTAATTGTGGAATCTCTGATTTTTCAGCCGCGGAATAGAGGCATCACATGCGGCAGCAATTTCCTTCATCGTATTGAGCATTGCCTTTTCCGTCTCACTGCACGTATCCGGAGTCGTGTTGTTCTGAAGAATAGAAGACGCTCATGAAGTAGGTTGTAGGAATAGAAGACGCTCATGAAGTAGGTTGTGGGGGTTTGAATCCAGACAAAACCTGCTCCACTTCCGCTGTTGTTGACGGTAACGTTCTTTATGTTCACAATCCAAATTGCTGCCGTGCCCGTTTCGTCTGCGAACCATGTTTTGCCTTCGATGTTTAGATATTGCTCGCAGATAAAGCAGACGTCAATTTTATCTTCAAAAACACGCTGGCGCAGTAGGTTTTGCGCCAAGGCGCACCTATTCAGGTTGCCTTGTAGTATGCGTGTCATTTCTGACCTCTCGTGGCTTCTGCAAGTGCTTTGCGGAATGCCTTGCAAGCTCCAGTGCCAGAAATATGGCATAGACTATCCTGGGCATCTTTGTCCGAAGCACAAAGGAAGCATTTTAGCTTCTCCGTGCAGTTTACGGCCTTGTAGTTCTCTCCGCCACATTTGTAACAGCACTTGCTTCTGTCTGGTCCCGCACACTGACGTGTGTGGTGTCCATAACCAAGACATTTAAAACAACGTGTTACTTTTACCACTGGGCGTATACGACAGTTCACCAAACCGATCCGTATACGGGCCTTGTCAAGGGCCTTAATCGCACTGGGCTCGTCTAATTCGCAGAAGGCTGCCCGATTTCCTCGTGGTGTGGGCTTTGTCAAATTGACCCGTTTGACCTCCAGGCTGTCAGTGAATTCACGTTTGAGTGATTCACGGACTTCGCTCTCGGTAGAGATTTCATCCAGGTCGAGGATCTCGATCGTTGCTGTTGGTGTTAGCGTCTTGACCGTGCCGATGTTTGCAGTGGTTGACTTTACTGCATCGGTGAAAGCCTTACTGTCCTCGGTCTTTCGAGACATTTCAAGGAGAACGCCTCCATGTTTCGTCTTTTTAATAGACTTTATGTCTACGCCCGTCTCGACAGGGCTTACCTTAGCCTTGATTTCCCTGAGGAGATCGGCGTATGTCCGCCCTTCAGCTGGTTGGACAAGCACAGCTTTAGTTCTCGTCCTCTTCCTTCTCGGTTTCTTGGAGCCATCATTGCTTGGCTGGTTTTGGGCTGTAGCAGATTGAGCCGCTGGCTTCTGTTCTCTATCCTTCTTTTTCTTTTGCCAAGTCACTTTAGTGCAAGTATCATCCCGGGCTGGCTTTTTCTGTGCTGGCTTGTCAATTTCTGCGGAGGGGCTGGGTGTGGACAGCGGCCTCTTCTTGTTGTTGCCCTCTTCTTGCTGTGATAATCTCTTAGGAGTGACCACAGGTGGCTGTGGTTTTTTGCTCAGACTCGGAGATGTTTGAGTCGTTGACGCTGTCGTCGTTGGTGGTTTGTTGGCTTTTATGAAGTCGACTAGCTCTTCAATCTTGCTGCCGAGTCTCTCCATTGGTGACTGTTGGCTGGTGACAGTCGGTACAGAGTTTATTCTTCCTCGGTAGGTTTGGTTTGTGACAGGAGCAAAAGGTCCTCCACTTTTTGAAGGACCGTTGTTCAGCTGTCCGTTCTCCTCCATCTGGGCTGTTTCCGTACTCCCTGTAGCATTTCCAGACAGCAGAGCCATGGGGTCTACCCTGCTGTCGTAACGGTCGCTTGATAACGACAAGTTCGGACCCGTTTGCACGCCTTCCCTCGCCGGCACTGAGGTATCCATCCTCTGTACTGTAAACGATGTTTGCATATCTTCTGACATTTCCATATCGTTGTTTGGTGTTGTTCATTTAGCACTACTCGGAGAGCACGTGTAGGGTGTAAAAGCAGAACCTACGGACACGAACAACGCTACCCTCCGTGTGTGTGTGTGTGTGTGTGTGTGTGTGTGTGTGTGTGTGTGTGTGTGTGTGTGTGTGTGTGTGTGTGTGTGTGTGTGTGTGTGTGTGTGTGTGTGTATGTAAACCTCTTGTAACTTTTGAACGACTTGACCGATTTCATCGCGGTTGGTGCTATTCGAAAGGGCTTCACTAAACTTAGATTTCCTGAAAATTTGAACCGATTCGGACCGTAGATTTCAAGAAAATGCAACAAAAGTGAAAAAAAAGTTGTTTTTTTTTTATTTTTTTTAAATATCTCTGAATTGGCTGAACCGATCGGTCTCAAAAACTAATCAGCTTTTAATCTTGAAAACCCCCATCGATCGCCACCAAAAACGTAAGAATCAGTTGATGCGTTCGTGAGATATCGTTGTCGAAAAAAAATCGAAAAAAGTGTTTTTTTGTAATAACTTCGAAATTCATGGCTCGATCGATCTAAACTTAAAAATTTTTTATGGAGCTTCAAAAACTGCGTCGATTGCCGCCAACCGCGTAAAAATCGGTTCATTCATTCAAAAGTTATTGCCGTTTGAAAATTCAAAAAATTGTGTCTTTAAACTGCTATTAGAGTTTTGAGCTCGAAGAGCTCAAATTGACACAAAAATAATATTTTTGAGCTCGAAGAGCTCAAAAACGTAATGTGTAGTTTGAAGCGTTCAAGTACAAATGAGCGGGAAGTTGCAGGGATGGCCTTTAGGGTGAACCGTTTTTCTAATTTTTTTTTTAAATAGTTGTAATTGAAAAAAAAAAAATCCTTCTTCCAAGACCTTGTAAATTATATCTCGAAGACCTGTCTAAAATTTCATCAAGATCGGTTGAGTAGTTCTCGAGTAATCTTGGGTACCGTCTTTGAAAACATAGTTTTGAGAAAAAAGCGTTTAAAGTTTTGAGTGACAATACAACAGTGCCTTGAGCGCCCAACTTTTTAAAACTGTATCTCTGAAACTATTATTCGGATCGATTTGAAACTTTAGGACAATATTCTAGAGATATTGTAGAATTTAATAAGACAAAAAAATCGATTTTTTGAAACCGTGAAACCCATGTAACTCCTTAATACATATTGTACGAATTTCTGATTATTCGTCCGGTGCCAACTTGACGCAATTAAAAAAATTAATTTTAGAAATTTATTATATTAGTTTTGATAAAAAAAAATAGTTTTGCGATAGGTCTTAATTTAGAGGAATTGTGATCTGTTTTTTTTTTTTTAAACTTTAACAATCAAAGTTAGTCGAATCATTTTTATATATTGACGTTAAATAAGATGTTTTTTTAGAATTATATGATAAACTGAATTGAATCGCTCATTTATTCAAAACACTTTACAAATAAACTGAAATCTCATGAGTGATCACTCATTATCATAATCATCACTTGATTGTGTTGGCTTCAAACATTCATATTTACTGTGTCCATAGTTTTTTTGGACAACTTCGACGGCTTTCTTTCTCCATTCCTCCTTTTTAGAGTCACGAACGATGATACTACCCGTGAAATAGGGGTAGTCCGATTTGTCGTCATTATGCGAGACTCCCAATCTGCAAGAAATGTGTCAGTCACCTTTTTCGAACTACAGAAGGAGAATATTGATAATAGCTTCTGTGATACTTACGCGTAAGAAACAGCCATTGCATAGATGGCGTTAGAATCTCCAATCAAATCACTGACAAGCACAATTGGTTTGGACGAGCAAACTATTTTCGAAGTTTGTGCTAGACCCATCACTAACTTCGCCTTTGTTTTGTTCGAATTGTTGTCACTCAAATAATATCTAGATGCAAAAAAAAATTTTGTTAGGATTGCATAAAAGATTTTGTAACAAATTTATATGTTAGCGTAAGGATGAACCATATGTTGTGATAACAAAGTCTTGGTTATTAGTTATTTATGTGCTATAATAAAGCAGTTTGTTACAGCAAAATCTTCTAGTTCAACAAAATATTTTGGTTGGATGAACAAATCGATTTGTAGAAATAACAAGATTGTTATGTCAGGATAGCAACAAATTTTTTGGTGGTTTAACATAAACCACACGGAAAAAAATAAATAGTAAATGCAACATGATACAGTCTTGATAAATATACATGATGAAATCATGTTGCAGCAACATGATTTGTCATGTTTCGGCTACATGGCAATCATGATGCAGCAATATGATTTGTCATGTTTCGGCTACATGACAATTATGTCGCACCAACATGATTTGTCATGTTTCGACTACATGATTTGTCATGTTTCGACTACATGATTTGTCATGTTGCAGTAACATGATTTGTCATGTTTCAACTACGTGACAATCATGTTGCAGCCACATGATTTGTCACGTTTCCGCTACATGACAATCATGTTCCGATAGCATGAGAAAAATCATGTGGCAACATGATTGGTCATGTAGCCTTATTAGCACGAAATTAAGCTGCAACAACTAAATATTTATGTTTAAGAAACATTATTTATTCTAAAGTATTAATGCTATTAAAGCTACATAAAAATCATGTTGCTGCCACATGATTTTTCTCATGCTACCGCAACATGATTGCTATGTATCCGAAACATAACAAATCATGTTGCTGCCACATGATTTTTCTCATGCTACCGCAATATGATTGTCATGTAGCGGAAACATGACAAATCATGTGGCTGCAACATGATTTCATCATGTTGAATTACCAAGACTGCATTATGTTGCATTTACTATTTATTTTTTTCCATGTAGTCAGTTGGTATAACAAATGTTGTTGTTGTTTAGCCTTTAGAGTTAACCATATCAAGAATTTTTCAATTGTTACAATATTAAACAAAATTGTAAATTAAAACTTTAATGACAATTTTGGAGAAATGCTTCTCAGAATTTTACAACTATTTTTGGCAACAAAATCATTTTGTTGTGCAATGATAATTGTTCGTGATTGTTGAAGTTACTTAGCTTTGAGCGAATTATAAATAACTTACGGAGATATGTATAGGATTACATTGGCATCAAAAGATTCGAATTGGTCCTTGTTGTCTTCTAACCAAGCGGCGAATTTCTCTAACTCTGGGATTGCTTCCCGAAAGTGTTCATCTCTGCGACCTTTGACTATTGCTTCGGCCCGATATTTATCAGTCAGACGGTTATTCTTCAAAGGTTCCATATCATGTACACTTGCACGTGAGGTTGGTTCGTATAAACCCGGAGTCTAAAAAAAATAATCAGTTGCTCTAAAGTTTTGCATTCATTGCAATATCTGAACATGATCAGTATGAAATTATACCTTCATCACGACGAGACCGCTTAGTAGAACTTCAAGAGGTCGATTGGCACCAAGCGTTGAGAAAATGGTATTCATTCCATCGATTACGTTTTTTGCTTGTTGCTTCAATCCATCCTCGTAGTTTTGTCGGTAAGAATCATACTCTGTGGCAATCAGCACCTTGACGAATAACGCATCTGAAAAATATTTTTGTTAAAAATAGGATTCAATAATTGACAGAAATAAATAATAAGTAACGTACCTGCTTTTCCTGAGTTACGGGCTTTCTTGTTTTGGAATTTCTGAAATTTTTGATTAAGTTTACATTTATTAATATAAATCCGAAAGTATTGATAAATAGTTAGATCAACTATATTTTCATAAATATTTTTCTGTTATCGTGTTAAACAAAAAATTATTAGGTGACTCAAAGGTAGTTACGAACAATGTCTCGGATAGCTTAACTGGAAGAGCCCTTGGCGCGTAACCAAAAGATCCGGGTTCGATTCCCGGTCCGGGTTGTCCGAATTATTTTTTCGTTTGCCGAAAAACTCCCACTGAGTGGCCCCCCTTCCCCTTTATAATTTCTTCTCCCCTCTCTCAAAATTTTTCGTTCAATAATAAATTAACTACGAAAAGTATATCATTCACTCTCAAAGGATAATTGAGTTACAGTAATTTAAAATGTAGAGCTGGATGTGGACATTATGAGTTAAAATTAATCAAGATAACTATCATGCCCATATTTAGCTAAAAATAGTTTAAGTAACTATGTTATTAAAGTACAATACAATAAATAATTTTAGGTATAAATAACTTCAATTAAATAGTAGTAATGCTAACCAAATAAATTTTCCTAGTTCAAAGAATCAAATTTCTCTCTGTGTCGGAAGTTTTTATGAAGTGGGTGTTTTGGAAACAATTGTAGAGAATTACTTACATTTTTTACCATGTTGATCTTCACTCCAGCTCCATTTTTTTCTGGATAGTAAATTGGAGTATTTGAACCGTAGACGTAAATGTCACTAGCCTTGATGCAAAAAATAAATAAATTAATACATCAGCGAATAATAATTTGATTTTAGAATACTTACAGCTATGTTCGTAGCGATAAAAATATTCGCCAACAACAACGCAAAAATACCCTTCATTTTCTACGGGGTTTAACTAACAAACCAACTTACGACTTTGAAAACTTGTAAGTTCACGGGCAAAGATTGATAACTGACCAAAATCGGCGTTTGTTTAAAGATACGTCGTTCACGTGATTGAGCTGCTGTCGAATTCTAATTGGTCGAATCGTGTAAGACGTAATTGATCGAAGCATTTCTTTGTTCCTATTAAATTTATTATTGATAAAAAAATTCAACGCATTTTAGTAGAAGAATGTGAAGTAATGGATTTTTAATCACCACTAGGCATTCTCTTTGTTAATTAATTATATTATTTTATATTAGTATAAAAATTAAATAAACATTAAATAGTCAATATCCTTAAAACAAGAACCTATTGAATGTATTAAGTTAAATAATAATTAACTAATGAGTTGAGAAGCTGTTAATCACTCAAATTAAGATTCCAAACTCAATGAAATCAGTATTCGTTCACGGACAGCTTGATTGCGTCATCAATAGCCGTTTTATTTTAATCTGTCATATTTTAGTAAATAATTTTATCACGAGAATTTGAGAAGGGGATCAACTGAACCACAGGTCAATTAAACCAATGGAAAATCGATAATAACAAAAATCTAAAATTATACTTTTATATGATAGCTTGCGAGTTTTATAAGTCACTTCTTTCATTTTGAAAAAAAAAATATTTTTTTTTCTTGTTAAAATTAACGCTTATTTTTGTCAATGATCCTGGGATAAATAATAGAAAAATAGTATAAGTGATATATTCCATAAATGGCCGATAAATATGTTATTATAGTTATTTTTATTGTAGCGTATAAAATATAATAATTGAGAAGATAGACGTTAGTCTTTAGCGATCGTCATATCTTATGATTTTGTTCCTATAATAAAACCCATTACTATTTATCAGACTAATGCACTCTTATTACCTCCACACCAACACAATATGACATTACCAAGTAATCTTGTAAGCAATACTAATGGCCCGTAATATTTTATATTTATAATCGATATATAGTTATCTCTATAGATATATATAATACATATATACAACAGTAGGCCATATTTATACGACTAGTGTTAGTATTTCATACTTATCACCGATGAAAATAAGTTCTATTCTTTCTTTATATTCTAACACATATATATTGATCACACAGGAAACGAAAGAATTCAAAATAACATGGCACTAGATCTTATAAAATATAAACAACAAAATATTAAATATTCGACACAAAATAAGTGAGAAGTGGTAGATATTTCGATATTGCACGCCTCATAGCGCGATGCGGCTGAGGTGATGCTTTATCTTCGCTATGTCAAGGTCAAGCAATTTTGTAATCTTTAAATGCCTCTATTATAATACAACCATGTTGCATTTATACGATAATATGAATAGATTTACATCGAAAACTATAATCCAACCTAATCAAGCTAGATTTTGCATGCCTTAAGCGCGAAGCGCACAGGTATGCTCTACTCTCGCCTAAAAATCGTGATTTTGATTCAAACGTGATTTTCATAATTAGCAACTGTTTTATCATCTGTTAAGAGTTTTTTTAGCTTACCTACACAGAAGATAACACCACTAGCGGGAAAATTCAAACAAAAAAATGAACAAAAAAAAGTATAGAAATCTTTATGAAAAAGTTAACAAATCGTAATGTAAACATTCAATCTAAATAATTTGTGTATGACATGAGCGCTTAAAGCATGCTCATTTGGATTTTCCAAACTTTTTTTTTAGACTGCGTGTGTATATGACAAAAAGAAACGGGTGTCAATAAAAATTAAAAAATCAATTACACAATTTTAGATAATTTAGACAAAAATCGTGCATCTGTACTGGTTTTCCTAGATCTAGCAAAGGCTTTTGATACAGTTAATCATAAAATCTTGCTTGATAAATTGTGGCGCAAAGGAATCAGAGGTCTACCTCATAAATTGATTGTTAATTATCTATCAGGTAGAGAGCAATGTGTTAAATTGAATAATTGTACTAGTGATTATAGAATTGTAAAAATTGGTGTTCCCCAAGGTACCATCTTGGGACCACTTCTCTTTATTATGTACATAAATGATATTTTTAATATTCTGCCTCCTGATGATCTTGTATCATATGCTGATGACACAGCAGTAGTACTGTGTAGTGGATCTAATTGGTTAGTAGTATCTGATTGTTTGTCTGATTGGTTGAATAAGCTAGATCAATGGTTAATAGTCAATCAGTTAACGCTAAATGTTGATAAATCGACATTTATTACCTTTGGTTGTTACACTGACAGTGTGCCTACAAATTTTCATTTGTACATTAAAGATAGAGAGTTGAAAAGAGTTGAAAGTTGTAAATATCTGGGAGTAGTTTTTGATTGTAACATGAAATGGAACAAACATATTGCAAAACTAATGAAAAAACTCAAATACTTTACCTTCCTCTTTTACAAATTAAGTAATTGGATAAACACATCATTACTAAAAATCATATATCATGGTCTATTTGAAAGTGTCATAAACTAAGGAATTATAGCATGGAGGGGGGGGTGCATATGATAACACTTTAAAACCTATTATAAATCTACAAAATAAAATGTTAAGCAAATTGACAAATTCTGAAGATATGTTAGGACCATTGAAGATTAAACAATCTTTCGTTGTACAAGCCTTAACTTATTATTTTCGTGAATGTAAAACTTTGTACTCTGATAGAGTAATCAATACAAGAGCTAGACAGTTAACTTTACCAAAAATCAATAGAACAATAAGTACTAAAAGTGCAATTTATGTTGCAATTAAATATTTTAATTTACTTCCTAATAATCTGAAAGAGCTAAATTATACCAAATGGTTAAGAAAACATATTGTAAGATGGATAAGATCAATTATACTTTAATTCATGATAAATTGTATTTATGTAAAAATTTTGTAAAATTAATCTTAATTTACTCTGTACACTATTTACTTAGTTAATTTAATATTATGTATTAATTTTTTATAAATGTATTATATTTTTCTGGTGTCTATGCACAGGTGCTTATTGCACCTCTATAGAATTGCTTTACCAGAAGTAAATAAATAAATAAATAAATAAATAAATAAATAAATAAATAAATAAATAAATAAATAAATAAATAAATAAATAAATAAATAAATAAATAAATAAATAAATAAATAAATAAATAAATAAATAAATAAATAAATAAATAAATAAATAAATAAATAAATAAATAAATAAATAAATAAATAAATAAATAAATAAATAAATAAATAAATAAATAAATAAATAAATAAATAAATAAATAAATAAATAAATAAATAAATAAATAAATAAATAAATAAATAAATAAATAAATAAATAAATAAATAAATAAATAAATAAATAAATAAATAAATAAATAAATAAATAAATAAATAAATAAATAAATAAATAAATAAATAAATAAATAAATAAATAAATAAATAAATAAATAAATAAATAAATAAATAAATAAATAAATAAATAAATAAATAAATAAATAAATAAATAAATAAATAAATAAATAAATAAATAAATAAATAAATAATTTATTTTCTTAAAAAATGAATGAGCGTTATGGGGTGTGCACTTTTGGATTTTTGGAACTTAAAATTTCATTTAAATTGCAATTATATTTAATTAATTATAACAAACGAAGGTATAAAAATCCAAAATAATTTAACACACAGATTCTACGTTAATGGTGTGCACCACATACATGTTTAAGCTCCGCAAGTAAGCGAACAGTAAATAATTTAATATAATGGCTAATAGTATATAAATAATCTAGAATACCCATTATACTCAATACGGTGCATGACAATGATTTCGCAATGACTTCTGAAATGAACACACTGAAATTCACACGCACGTATGGTAGTCCGAGTGCATTTAATGTGTCACGTTGTCCGTTATTTCCGTTTGCTCATTCATTCGTCATTAATTCTCTCACTAATTAATTAATTAATTAATTTTAGATTTGTTATTTAATAAACACATTTTTCCTCGATTTTATTTACACTTGTTATTTATTATTTGTAATTTACAATTTACATCAATAGAAGACAGTGAATAGTGCAAGAGAGAGGAAGATACTAGTCAAGTGCTGAGGGGTGAGGCTGTCGTTATTGATAATGTAATCAGTGAACATGTGAAAGTCATTGAGACGAATTTAACTGGACAATTCGACTGCAGGTGGTGCCAGTGCAATAGTCCGGTCAATTCACAAATCAATAATTTATTATTAACATTGGATTAATTAATTAATTTCAGTTATGCTCTAATAAATAATAAAGTTTCTTTTAGAACTTCAAAATTATTTTCAATTTTTCAAAATATGATTTTTATAAAATTGAGCTTGCAAATATAAATTTACTATTACCGATATTTTCATCAATAAGTAACATGTAACAACGCCATCAAAAATAGGCAAAAACATTATAATTTGATTCTCGATATTCGTCAGTTCATAAATTGTTTAGATTTAAATCTTTAAAATTTAAATGATAGAAAAAAAATATTTTAAATTGAAAAAATATTGTGAAATGAATTTGTCTTCAGTTAAATAGATTAAGATTTCTAGACTTACAAATTTTTGAGCACCTTCACATCTTAATGAAAACAATGTTATTGTGGAAAAATAATAGTTAACGATAAAACAAAAATTGACAGCTACTTGGCTCGACTTGAATTTCAAAAGTTTTAGATCTAGTCCTGCATACATAATGCTGAGTCAATTAGACATTGACCAAATGTGCTTGATTTAACAAACACTTGTTTCTTAAATAAAACGAAAGGAAAAAATTTTTCGTAAAATTCTTTTCAATTGTGATTTTCAAAAATTAGTGCATGTATAATATCATTATAATATTCTTCACATTAGTTTGTTTGACAAGCTTCAGGGGTGATAAAAATAAGCTCAAAATCATACTTACCACACATGCAAGTAGTCTCTGTAATCACAAGACAGATATTAAAATTTAAATGATTTACAATTAAAACGAAAATTGTAGTGATTTAAAAATTAATTCAAACAAAATAAACTTCATAAATTGACGCGTAAAAATAATTGTGTGAAATAAATTTTTATTTTTTTTTTAATCCCTCAAAATAACAATAAAATTTTCAGTTGTATTTTATGAATTAAAATTATCAAAAAATTATAAATTAAAATATACATATTAATTATATTTTTGCCAATACATTTTAAAGAAGATCTGCAATGACTACAAAACAATTATTAATAATTTCACTAGAGAAATCAAAATGATTTATAAATTTGACGATCCCTAAACAAATACATATTATGATTCATTCACCCCGACTACATTTAGCATCAAATATCGAGTGACAATAATGTTACTCAAGAAAATCGAATATAATTACATATGGATAAAAATAATTAACAATAAAGTTTTTGAAGTTTTTTTATAAAAGAAAAATGTCAAATATAAAGCAAATTTTTGAGTAAAAGAAATATAAAATTTAAATTGGTGATAGGTACTTAATATCTTGATCTACCGCTGCGTAAAGGAGAACTATGGCCTACCAGCCGCCACCTATTGGCCGTCGAGGAACTAAAAATTCACAATAATATCATTTTTAATAGTACATCGAGTTATTAATTTATTTTGAATTACTTTTACTTATTACTTCAATTATTTTTATAAAATTATTGAAAAATTGAGAGTATTATTAAAGTTATAAGTGAAAATTTGGATATATAAACTTTATTTTGATCAATTTACATATGACATAAGTTTTAAGGCACGCTCATTTGGATTTACCAAATTTTATTCGTGTTTTAATATTTATGTAATACTTTCAAGAGTAAAACATAATTTTTATAGAAGGAAAAATTTATAATAAAAAATAAAAAAATATTAATTTTCTCAAAAAAATTTAATTTTCAATTTTCTATTTATAATCTTTTATTTTTTTAATTAAAAAAAAAATAATTACCCAAAATTTATCTATTGATTATTTTTATAATGATAGTTTTTTCCTCTAACATTAATCGGGTTTTTTTATGTCAATGATAAGAGACAATTCACCGGTTTTTTGAAATAAATAGTTAAAAAAAAGTACTAGTGTCTTAGTTATTACCCGTACAGTTTACTTCCAAAATTGAGCGTGTGTTAATTAACGTAAAGAATTATATTTAAAAAATAATTGAACAAAAAAATAACAGAATGATAGCAAAAGTAACAGTAACTATAACTTTTATATTTTTCGCGATCTGTGGTGCGGAACCACTAGAAAAATCAGATATTTACGACACTACTGCAGTGAACAGATTCTTTCAAAGTTTGATGGAAAAAGTAGAAAGAAATACTTACCAATTAGAGATCAAGACCGATGATGACACTAAGAGCAGAATTTTGAAAGATATTTTATCGGATGCAGTGGAAGCGCTGGAAGTATTAAATACGATATCTAGCGATATTCTTGAAGAGTATTGGTTTCCCCATTTCCGGAGGCTTTTGAAAAATTTACAGGAGGCAGAAATAATGGAAGGAGAGGTCAGAAGATCTTTCATGCCACTAGTAAGTAGCATGCAAGAGACTTGGGGAACAATAGACGCGCATGCTGAATCGCTGATTTCACTTCATAAGAGTAATGATTCCGATCATTTGGCTGGTTTGTGTCCGTTGCTGTTTGGAGTGACAAGATTTCTTGAAATTGATCATCGGGCGCAGTCTATTGCGAAGATTTATCAAAATTTTATTGACAATGTTCTTCAAGAATTTAGTGTAAGTATTTGAATTTTTATTGAAAATTTTTATTATTGTATGACGTTAGAGTGACTCGGATGTAATTTACTGTCAATTTAAAATTATACGGAAAATTTATAACAAAAAACTCGTCATTACTGTTTTTAGTTAATCAAAATAAGGATATAGATTTAGAAATATATCCATGAATTGTCAGTGATTATATCTGATAAATTTTTGTTCCAAAGTTATTGTATTAACAACCTCAAAGTAGTTAGGTCAAGTTAATCCAAAAAATAAGGGGTACCCTTGTATGAATTTCCAAGAAGCTAAAAATTTACATGAACGTTAGGGAGACCATTATAATGAAAATGTGAATATTTCCCATCAATCCCATGTTTGCAGAAAATTTTGTGCAAGGCCGAAATCCGCAAAAATGAGTATTCTGGATTTTTAACGGTACTGTTAGTTTCATAGTCAAAATAGCTCAGACAAACTTTGTAAATCATGTAATTATTTACGAAATTTTACCTCACACTTTTTCCCTTAAGATTTTAAATTTTTGAGATAAAGCCATTCTAAAAAAGTATGGAAAATCCAAAAGTGCACGCCTCATAACACTCGTTCATCTTTTAAGCAAAAAATAAATTGTGTAATCGATGTTTAAAAGGAAAAAAAAAAATTAATTTCTTATAGAATATTTTCTATTTTTTTTATATTTATATAAATACTTGTATAAGTGCAATATGGCTGTAATAGAGGCATTCAAAGATCACAAAATTGCTTGACCTTGACGAGGCGAGAGTAAAGCACTGCCTTACGCGCTTTGCGTTATGAGACGTGCAATTCAATAAAGTTGTATTTCCCAGATATGCATGACTAAAGATTCTTCTAAGAAATCATTGTGTGAATCAAAATATATCTTTTATCAATATAAAAAATCTTAATATAATAAGAATAGTATATTACATACCTAGGCCAGTAAAATAAGAAAAGTCTCAGACCACATGTAATTGTTGGCCGAGGCGAAGCCGAGGTTGACAAACATGTGGTCTGAGGCTTTACTTTTTACTGGCCAAGGTGTGTATACTATTTTTCTGCTCGACGTAGCCGGAATGTGGCAACTTTATTTAGCGCAGCGGCCAGAAAGTTGCCACTTTCCGGCCGGAGGGCAGAAAAAACTTTTTGACAAACATATTTTTACTCTAAAAAATATTGAAGTATGTAAATTAGGTATAATCAGAGCGGTCTTGACCTAAATTTGAGCCTTTTAAAGATTAAAAATTTTGTTTTCCTGTTCGTCAATTTTCTATGTTAAAAATTTGCAGTTCCTTTTTAGTTTCTTGTTTATACATAGTATATTACGACCTAAGGCCAAAAAGTTGGATTTCCTGGCGTATGTGATATGATGGCCGAGGCGTAGCCGAGACTATCATATCACATACGTCAGGGCATCCAACATTCTGGTCATGGGTTGTATACTATTTTTCTTGCTTTCCAGCCGAAAGTACGCAACCCCGGGGAAGGGGTTTTGCAAAACCGAGGCGAAGCCGAGGTTTTGCCGGGGGTGAGTGGGGCGCCGTCCGACTTTTGTAAAGCCGAGGTATATAAATTATTTGTGCAGTATTATTATTAATTAAATAGTTCATTAACAATAATCTAGTAAGAATTAGTATATTGCATACCTAGGCCAGTAAAATAAGAAAAGTCTCAGATCACATGTAATTGTTGGCCGAGGCGAAGCCGAGGTTGACAAACATGTGATCTGAGGCTTTACTTTTTACTGGCCAAGGTGTGTATACTATTTTTCTGCTCGACATAGCCGGAATGTGGCAACTTTGTTTAGCGCAGCGGCCAGAAAGTTGCCACGTTCCGGCCGGAGGGCAGAAAATTATTTTTATTTATTTGACACTTTTTGGTTAGTTTATGTGTTGACATGTTACATACAGACGATGTTGTGACTGTTATATACAGTTGAAACTCGCTGTATAGGCCGGCCGCACCACGAAAGTACGATAGAAAGCGAGGCTCTGTGCTGCCAGCCAGAAAATATGCGTAGCGCGCATGCGTAGAGAGCCGGCTGAGCCGGCCATAAAAGTTGCTCTTCCTGGAGTAAAGAGCGTCCAGGATGAGCGTACTTTTGGCTAGGAAAGCAAGAAAAATTTATTCCGTTACATTTTCCATTAAATTATTAGGAATTGATCAGATGTTTTTTTTTTTTTTCAAATTAATATAAAAAGTACCCTAACTACGTATCTTGTAATTAAAATATCAAAAAATAACCACTAAACTACAGTGCTTTTGTTCATAATTCAAAATTCTTTGTTATAACATATTAACTGTACGAATAATTATTTATAATACCAATAAAATTATTCTTTCAAGTTGGAAAGTTCTTGGAAATCTTGTGGTCAAAAAAGTTCATTGCGGGAAGGTTTGTTCAAATTTTTCCGTAAAGTTATGACTTCATACCTCAAAGAATTCGTCTTGTATTGGTTTGTAAATGTTGCAAATGCTCGATGTATGGACAGTAAGTATCCTTAACAATGTTTACAGTCCAAATATTCTTAGAATTCAATCATTTTAATTTGTTTTTTAATTTTATCCCAGGAAATAGTCCTGGAATGCTAGGCGAGTTATTTGGTATCTACGTGAATAAATTTGATAAAAATTTAAGAATAACTAGAAATACTATTCACTTTTACCAATTTAGTGTGTATAGGTGTGACGCTAATAAATTTGATCAATGTAAGTAATATACAATTTACGACACTTCATAATAATAATAATTAATTTTAATATTACTTCTAATTATATAATTTTGCAGATAATAGAGAGTGGTATTATGAATTAGAAAAAATGATCCAAACAATAATTGTCAATGAAAAAGATATGAGTATCCCAGAATCTTGTAGTCACAATTGTGATCTCAGTCCATTAAAATATCCAATTAATCATAGTGACTGTAAAGAATTCCGTGATTGTCACTTAATAAAAGGTCGTTTGGAAGTGTGTAAGGTAATATATTGATTTTTCTCAAATTAAAATTGATAATTAATGGATCAATCATGTATTTGATACTGTATTCTTGATTAGACTTACGAAAATTATAACTCAAGACGCTACCAGTGGTTCAAAGATTCTGAGGGAGTTGTTTATGGTAATCAAAGTCAACAATGTTACCAGAAAGAATCTTTAGGAAGCTATTATGATGGATGGAAAGTAAGAGATTGTGACTACTGCATGTGTACTTGTATCAAGAAACAAGAGTCTGGATACCATGTTGTGACTGCTATCAGCTTCAGGGAACAAGTATCGAACACTGCAGATAACATGTTGCGTATCTTTCTTCTAATATTAGAATAAGATTAGATTAGATCCTTAGAGTGCACAGTATTTGATTAAATTCACTTAGATTTGATCAGATTTGGATAAATAAGATCAGATCTAGGCAAAATTTATCATTTTTTTTTGTAAAAAGTGATTAAATCTGACAAGATTTTACTAAATCTTCTTGAATTTTGGTAGATGATGAACAAATAAAAGTACTTGACATAATCTTGTCAAATCTAAGAGGCATATCATTAAATTAGATCATATTGAGACAGACTTTATTGTATTTTCTGGGAAAATTATTAGATCTAATAATATTTGATCAGATTAGAACAATTGTTGAAAAGATTTCACCAAATTTAGGGATGGTTCACTAGATCGATAGTATTTTCTATCAGAAATCGATCAGATTTCTTCATATCTACTAAATATTTATCAGATCTAAGGAAATGTTACTGATGCCGTCAAATTGAAGTTTACTTAATTATAATATGATAAAAGAAAATTATTATTGTACAAATTTAATCTTGTTTTTTTCTTTAATTTATGACATTAAATCAAATGAATTTAATCTTTATTAACATTTCAAAATTTTTCTGCATCGCAGGGTAGTTGTGGGTGTCAGATTTGTTCGACAAGGATACATGATCCACGTCCAAATAAAAGAAGGTAGATTAGGACTAACGAGATTCAACAAATACGATCCTTGGAAGCCAGTAGAAGACATTGGCTACGACGAAAGCACGCAGAAATTTTTCCTCATAAATGGAAATACTCCACTGCAACTTGGTCTCGATTATTGGCACCCAAAAACTATGAATCTTGACGACCTAGTTGCTCCTCTCGGGTATGCTGTAACCGGCGTAAGATTTGGGCTTGCTGAAGGTTCAATTGAACTACAAATACGAGTGTCGCCCATGGATTTTATAAACGGAAGAATTTTAGATGATGATGACTGGACTTATTGGATATCTCCCGAACATAAAGATCAGAGGTTTGGGAATTTTAATAGATAATCGTTAATTTTGAGTGTTGATCCTCATTGCTTTCGTTTCATTTGTAGTAGGACCGAGCTGATCTTAAGCGAACCAGATCTTCCGACTAAGTCAACCAAAAATCTAGTTGATTCATCAAAAGGACAGTTTGTCGAGTTCCAAAGATCTGATTTAAAGAAAGATGCTGGGCAATCAACCGTCCCGTTTTTTGATGCTATGGAGGTAGAGGGTGCTCCAGGGTTTCCGGTAGGAGGCGTTGGAATTGTCCATCGAGGCAAAAAGGGATTTGGGGGGTATTTAGCATTTAAAATTTTTGATTTAGATCTTTCTTATTATTTTAGAGATAGCATGCATGATATGTCATGAAATTGCTAGGGTAACTAATAAAGTACACTGATAGAAAGATTTAGTTTTATTTAATAGGATTTAATAATAGTTACTAAATAATTTAGTAAAAAACCTTTCATTACCAAATATTTAGTACACATAAAGAAAAATTTCTTAACTGGAGAACATAATTCTTGGCTCAAGAAAATTCTCGGATGCCTGAAGGAAGACCGAAGATGTGTTGGCCGAAATAAAAATTTTTCTTGAAATTCTGTTCTTGGTGGAAGCAATTTTTTCTTAATTCAAATTATTATAAATACTTGGATACGATAAATTTTTACATTTGATTAAGATTTTTAGATACTTTAGGGAAGCAGCGCCACTTACTTCAGCTGAGAAAAAAATTTTCTCACCTTAAGAAAATTTTTCTCTTGAATATTGGATACCCATTTTATATTATTTTGCGTGCAATTATGCATATTGAATGAAAAAAAATAATTCAATATTATTTGATCTTCCCATTTGACATGTTAATCAATAAAAATTTACTTCTATCGAGATATTTAATTTTCTGGAGCAAGAGAGAAATTTTCTCAAGACAAGAAAATTTACTTCTATCAAGAATTAAATTTTTTGAAGCAAGAGGCTGAATTTTCTCAAAACAAGAAGATTTTCTTGACAAATAAATTTTCTTGGATCACGATTCGTATTTCCTAAAGCAAGAGAATTAATTTTGTTGGAATAAGTGAAATTTCTGGTGTCAAAAAAAAATTTTTTTTTCGTTTAAGAAAATAATTAGGAAAAAAAATATTTTCTTGGCTCAAATGAACCTTTTTTTCTGTGTAATAGTTACTAAATCATTTATTAATGCCCATTTATTTCCACCAAAAAATATTTAGTAGTATTTAACAAATTATTTTTTGCTACGTAATAAATCGTTAATTGGTATTAAAGAAATTAATTTTTTAACTAAAATTTATCATAGCCATCTACCGACAATACTTACCAAATAATTATTTAGTACCTACTACTAAATATTATTTGGTGGAAACAAATATTTATTTCCATGTAATAAGGCTTTGTTTATATTAATATAATTCATTTAGAATAAAGAAATCATTGATTAAACTGTAACAAATATTATTTATGGTTAAAAAATATTTTTTTCTTCCAAATAAATGACTAGAAATTTCATTATATTTACTAAATTTATTATAGAATATCAATACAACAATACAGCAGAAAAAATAATTCATTAATTAATTTATTTACTCAATACTGCAAATACAACGAGCATTTAAAGCAGAATCAACTCCCATGAAATTTTTTTATCCCAGAGGGCAAGGCTTATAAAGATCAAACGTCCCGCGGCAAGACCGCCGGTCAAAGTATGAGGCCTCAAAGTAGCAGGAGACGATGACGAGTACGTAGACATGACATGTACTGAGAGACGGAATAATAGTGATGTCTGGTGGTAAATAGAGAGAGGATGAAACGTATGAGATTGCACTGTACTAAGCAAGTTAAACCCAAGACCGAGTTGAGACCGCAACCGAAGAAGCGAGACCGCGACTTGTGGTACTCAACAGCTTCAGTACCAACAGTATCTACCGACGTTGCATGGCGGCGCTTTGTACTTGCAATCGCCAACAGATCATTACATGCTTCTATCTTTTTTCCTTTTTTTATGTACAAGGGCCACATTGCGATGCTCCAGTAAAGACAATGACAAGAATTACCTATGACAACCAAGACTTATTATTTATAACTGGGGTTTTAAGTTATTGCAGAAATTCAAAAAAAAATTTATAAAATTTTCCAACAGGAAAATTTTATAAATTTTTAAGCTTTTGAAAAAGACACTCAAAGCAATATTTTTTAAAAGACAATTGTACAATATAAAAATATGTAATTTTGTCAAAAATTTCAAATTATTTTTTTTTTACAAAAAAATTGTGTACAAATCTAATTTAAAGACCGATATTCATTTTTTTTTAATAAATTGACTTAATTAAAAGAATTTACTAATGACTTAACTCGAATTTATAAATATAAATATCAATAGAGCATGTTTGTCTTGATAATGTTGACTAGAATAGTGACGCATGAAGCAAGCGCATTCTATACGTACTGATAAAAAAATTTATTTTGAATAAGGTACCCACGGGTAATAAGACCTTAGTAACAGAAATGATATTTGAAACAACCACTTCCTCTAAAGGCTACTCTAGTAGAAGTATCTTGTATAAAAATGTCGCGACAAGTTTATAGAGTCCCGATACCATGTTCCCTGTCTTCTATATTTCATCATCCGTGATATGCTAAAGTAGCGCAGAAGAATTCCTAAAAAACGGTTTGAGTAAATGGTAAGCACTTTTTATAATTTTATAATTAATCATTCAAAATCATTGTTCTAATTTTTATCAACATCTTCAAATGTATTACTGCTAGATTTAAGTGATGATTGATCTCTAATACCAATTTTATTAAGTATAGTATAACTATTTCCAGTACAGTCGAATCGCGTTATGAGTCCGGCTTGTTTTCTTTGTTTTTTAACCAGACTCGCGTTAATAAGAGAGAGACACAAGGAGGGCTCATAACGCGACTCGACTGTACATTAATAGAAGGATTTAGTACAGAGTAATAAACTGATTTAGTAACAAAATTTTTAATCATTTATTTTGGAGAAAAAAATATTTGTCACCCATCAATATTACTTGTTACAGTTTAATAAATAATTTTTTTATTCTAATGGCTTATATGTCATTTCTCAGGGGAGTTTAGTTTAAATTTTTCAATTTGACTATTATTGACATGTTAAAAACTTGATTAATTTTAAATTTTATAAATATCTCAAGTAAATAGTATATTACGACCCAAGGCCAGAAAGTTGGATTTCCTGGCGTATGTGATATGATGGCCGAGGCTATCATATCACATACGTCAGGGCATCCAACATTCTGGTCATGGGTTGTATACTATTTTTCTTGCTCTCCAGCCGAAAGTACGCAACCCCGGGGAAGGGGTTTTGCAAAACCGAGGCGAAGCCGAGGTTTTGCCGGGGGTGAGTGGGGCGCCGTCCGACTTTTGTAAAGCCGAGGTTTTACTGGTCGGGGCGGGCATAATAAAAAAGTAAAAATTAATAAATAAAAAAAAAATAAGTTATTTTAAAGTTTACTAACAGACGCTCTGATTAAAAGAGATAACATGCACAGAAATTGTCACAAATATTTAAACTCGATTTAATAACAGAATTAATTTTTTTAAGTTGATTAAAAATTAGTTTTTAATTAGACGGCTAAGAAAGATTGAAATTTAATTATTAGAAGCTTGTAGAGTACATGGATTGTTTTATAAACAAATCGCTTTACTATAGCTGTCAAAATATAAAAGAAAGCAAATAAAATCTACAAAACTTTTATATTTTATTTTCTAAAATTTTTATATAAATTATTTGTGCAGTATTATATTATTAAATAGTTTATTAACAATAATCTAGTAAGAAATTATTTTTATTTATTTGACACTTTTTGGTTAGTTTATGTGTTGACATGTTACATACAGACCAGTGTGGCCAGAACGTGCTCTTTTCTTACCCCTACTTTGTAGGCCACTCTCATCTGACTACATTGAAAAGCGGTACAAAGTGGGGGTAAAAAAATCGCACGATCTGGCCACACTGAAACAGACGATGTTGTGACTGTTATATACAGTCGAAACTCGCTGTATAGGCCGGTCGCACCACGAAAGTACGAAAGAAAGCGAGGCTCTGTGCTGCCGGCCAGGAAATATGCGTAGCGCGCATGCGTAGAGAGCCGGCTGAGCCAGCCATAAATGTTGCTCTTCCTGGAGTAAAGTGCGTCCAGGATTAGCGTACTTTCGGCTAGGAGAGCAAGAAAAAGTTTTTTGACACAATGACGCGAAATTTTTTACTGTGTACCATGACTTCATTATATTTAATGGTTAATCTATTAAAACAAAGATTAATGATACATTTCGATAATTAAATGCAATATTTTTGTTTTTATTCAAAATCTCCTTAAGCTAGGCTTTATTACCCGCCGGTACCTTATTTATCAATTAATTTATTTTCAAAATAGTCATCCAATAAAATAAGAAACAAAAAATGGAGCTTACCCTGATAGCCAGTGCTTTCTCAGTAAGTGTTGACTTCCAACAGTTACGGTTAATTTATCCATCAAGTTGGCGGTAATTCTTCACTCAACAACAGTTGTAAGCAAATTGACGGAAATCTACGGCCGCAACTTGAATACAAGTTAACAATCAAACTTGTAGTTAAATTTCCTTTCAACTTTACTACAATTTGACGGAAATACTTGTACAGCAAGTTTTGACGTCTATTTGCAGAGTAAGTTATAGGTAACTAATAGGTAATCGCTCGCTTTGCCAAGTCTTTCCGTCAAGTTTGCTTCAAATTGCGGACGTAGATTGACAGTAAGTTATAGGTAAGGTGGCTATCAGGGTAATTGATAAAATTCTTTGGTAGTAATAAAAAATCAATTACAATTTTCTGATAACGTTTTATGGATTTTTACAATAACAAAATTCCACATGTTGACAAATGAATTACAAAAACTGATTTTGTACTATCAGACTGGATATCTCAAGGTGACTTTTATGAATATGGTAATATCTTTTACGCTCACGATAAGTTGTTAAATTCATTGAATTTGCAAAACTTTTCTGAGTAAATTTTTTTATTGCAATCGATAAATATTATCGGGTAGGAAAAGCAATTTGCACTGCATAAATTTTTAAGCTAAATATTTTTAAATTAATATATGAATTTTTTTCCATCTAAAATTAGCTGGTTTTTTTTATATCAAGAATAGATCCATATTATATATACAGAAAAAAAATTTGACGAACCAATATCGAGAAGCAAGTAATAAAAAATCAATTACAATTTTTTAATAACGATCTATGGATTTTTAGTGGTTAAGCCGGTACCTTAATTTTATTATACTGATAATAATATAAATTGTGCTGTCAAAATGAATCAAAGTCAGTAAAATTTTTTCGATTAAAAAAAAATGCCAAAATTTATTACCCAATGAAAAACAATAGTACCGCGACAATGACAATAATGATCCTCGCCTTCAGCGATTCTCTAATTTATAACCCGATAATAATAACGGGCATCGCAATAACAAGGACACTTATAATGCAAATTAACCACTCGCGTCATTTTCATCCAGTATTTAACGTACTTGGGTATACAACAATATTGTCAGCCGGTATAAATATCTACTAGCGTTCTACCATAGAACGTGTGTGTCGTGTAATGACTAAATAAATGGCAACAACTGGTGCGATGTCAAAACACAATCTGTATCCAAAATATAGTCATACCCTCACTCGTAAACATAAAATAGCCACACGTTCAACTAACATGTATTGTTATCATAATTGCAGCTAGTGCCAACTAACCTCCATTGTTTGTGTAACTTAAGAATTATAAATGCGCGCGTTGACATTTGTCACGGATGTTTTTGATTGAGTTATTGGCTTTTATATTTAACTGTATGATAATTTGACAAATGTATGGAATTGTTATTGTAATCGCAAGCGAACGCTTTTTTGTCGATAGAGATTCGTGTAATCCTAGCTCTTCATCAAACGGAACACGCTAACCATAGCAAGGGGAAACGATGTAGTAAAACTCTTTAAACAGTTGCACTTGTCATTTTGTTCCTCTCTTTCGCATACTTGACGCACTTTTACGCCCTGCGGAATACATCATACCACTTAATTTAAATGTTGACAGATATGTGCTTCTGATATTATGACCGATGAAAGTGACAGTAGTAGTTCAATTTAAATTTCACTTTGTTTCGCGGAATATAGAATTAAAAAATATCAAACAAGGTTAAGGAGATCCAAGTACCCTCCTAGTGTAAAGAATGTCTATAAAAAAATCTGGAAAACGGGTGACCCTAAAGGCCATCCCTGCAACTTCCCGCCAATTCCATACTTAAACGCTTGAAAT